TCTTTTTTTTTTTTTTTTTTTTTTTTTTAATGACTCCAAGAACACACCCACCACTGCTAAAAGGCTCTCAAATGACTCCAAAGGACAAAAAGTGAATATTACACATCATTTTTAAACTTATGATCATCATTAATATCTAATTATTTTCTATTATTTTCTATTCCCGCTGCTCGCCTCCCAAACTTAACACCATTCTCTCTCTCGATCTTGGTCTCTTCTAGATCCATTTTCATTTATTTATTTTTCTGTCGGTTGGGTTGGAGAAGAGAGCAAAATATTTTTTTATAAGAGTGTGAAAACTTATTTATAACAGTTGCATTGTAAAATGGTAAGACTGATATCGATGCGTAATAGGCTAAAACGAACCATATCAGCTAATAGTAAGCTTATATTGTTACATTTTTCTCTTTAAACACTATTTGTTTGGAATATAGTTTTAGTGTTTTAATGGTTGAGGTTGATGGTTCTTGTCTCATTTGAAGTGTACAGTATTTTACTAATAAATTCTATGCAATTAGGATAATTTATTAAAATTATTAATATAAATTAATTTAATATTCTAATGGAAAATATATATTTTAACTCATTAAATTATACCTAAATTAGCTATATTTTATTGAAAAGAATTTAAAAGATAAGATATATAAAAGGGGAAGATGACATTTACAATTTTTAATTGATAAAAGCAACGTATTATTAAATAAAAACAAAGGACAACAGTTTATCTTTAAGATTTAAAAAAAAGAAACCAACATTTACCGACCCATTTAGAAAACACTCATTTTATCATCTTATTGAAACAAAATTATGATCACATAAAGAAAGAAAAGCAAAGGAATATCTAAATACAAAGTCAGACAAAAATATCTTAAAAAACAAGCGAATGTGTGTGTGTGTATATATATATATATGTATATATACAGTAATTGAACAGTATAAAATCATTTCTGTTCCATGTGGCCTTGTGGGGTTCTTCGCACGTACCATTTCTGTCTTATAAAAAGAACCAAAATTTAATGTACCCCCACCAACCCATACAATTACTAGACAACCAGCCAGCCAATAGAAAACTTAACTAAAAAGTGCAAATATTTAAATGCCAAATTCATAATTTATTTTAAGTATTTTTTTCTTTTTAAGGTTGGTCACTTTGTTTTTAATATCCGTTCAAAAGTTGTATTCTTATTCTTGATCATTTATAGACTTTTTAAAACTCAATCTTGAATAAAAATTAATATGGCAGTAATTAAAACACTTTTTTTTAATTAAATTTGAAAAAATTACATTTAGATTCATCAACTATTGGTCAAATTTTATAATTATTTTTCTATTTTAAAGATAATTTTAAACATTTATAAAAGTGGTGTAATATTATAACTTTTCAAAAAAGAAGAGATATTTACGAAACAAAAGATAAAACTTTAAAGTGTTTTTTCTTTTAATTTATGTATATATAAATATATATATATTCACCCAAGTCTCTGTTGCACGCGGGCTCTGGTTGGTCGGTCCGGTCCGCATTTAAATTTTTTTAATTAGTTTTTGTATAAATAATTTTTAAGAAGCTTAGTGGGTCCCACTGGTAACCGACCAATGGAGAATACGATGGGGACACCTCTCCCTCCAAATCCTAGAATTAATTATTTTTATGTTTTATTTGAAAAAGGAAAGGAGCGGCTCGGCTATGTGAGCGGCTAAGCCGAGAGAAGGAGACCAGCTGGCGGTTATTTTGAATGCGTGAATTTCCGTGCCGAGGGACCATGGTGGAGACTCGGGCCCAGCCGAACAGAATGATGTCTTCGGGAGTGAGTACGTGGCGGCTAATGGTCCGGCGTGGGCTAGTCCATGATCATTAGGCTCACAATACCGGGGGGTAAAATAGAAAAGGAAAATATATGGGGCCCAGCCGTTATCCTATGTGTGGGTCCCGCAGACGGGCCATACCGTTTGCTTTTTTGCCAGAGAAGCTCACATGCCACGTGTCCCACACTATTTGATGATCGAGAATGCTGATAAGTCAAGTCACGACTTTCTGGTTTCTTTTAGGGTTTGTTTTAGTTTTTTTTTTCTTTTTTCTTTTAAATTTAATTGTGTCCATATAATAAGGCCGGTTACGCGCCTAGAGATAATGGGGGCCACTAAATTAAATATCAATATTATTTAGGGTAGATTATAAATTGAGTTTCTCTATTTTGATCAACACTTTACTAGACTATACTTCATATCCAATTTTCCCATCTATTCTTCCTTTTTCTTATATTAAATTATAATTCTGCGCTAATTTAAATACATCTCAATTCATTAAAATCATATATTATTAATTAAAAATAGTAGAATCTCCCCACTCAAAATACTTGCAATTTTAAATTAATCTGTAAATGTTATAGGTATATGGATTCCAAAAATTTTAGAACTTACTAATTAATTTGTTTTTGAAAATTAAATGTTTCCTTACAAAAATGAAAATAAAACATAATTTCCAAAAACCTAAAACTAAATAATTATCAAATTGTCAAATTATTATTTATTCATCTTAACTCAACTTAATTAGAACATAAATTCATCAAAATTGAAAATTTAAATTCTGACGTCTAAAATAGTTAATTAAATAATTAACTAAGACATTATCATCATTGAATTAAATTTTTAAAAAATAATTTAATTTAATTAACATTTTTTTTCTTAAAATCATAACAATTATTTTTTGGTTTCTTTTCTTCCGCTCTGTTTCTGAGGAAGTACAGAATTGAAGCAAAAGTTTCACACGTGAGCCAAGTGTCATTTCTGGCCCCACATCATACTTGCGTGGCATCATTTTTTTTTAAGAAGAAAAAAAAAAGAAGAAGAAGAGGGTGAATTAGTAACAATAATAATGATTTAAAGTTTTAATTGATTAGATATTTAACAAACAGCATTTTGGTAGGGTAATCAAGTAGTAATTTCCGCATAAATTATGACCCATTACTAATTTTATTTAAGAATTGAGTGTTTTAACACTTTCAAATTCTTTACACAATCGAAAATGGTCTTTTTTAATGTCGTTTATCATTAATTAGGTCAGATATGTTGGAAAAATGTTGGAATTTTATTACCATCTAACTATACATAATTATAATTGCCAATCATTGTAATATGTCTTCCAATATATATATATATATATATATATATTTGTAAATATAACATAATGAAATTCTCAAATATTCCATTTATTAAAAAGTGTTAGATATGGATATGTACACAGATACATATAAATCTAAAATTAATAATTGTAATAATTATTAAAACTCTCCAATATCATAAATTTATTAATTTCCACCTACAGTTACATTTTATTTAAAAAATAATTTAATTGAACTTTTATAAGTTTTAATTTTGAAATTGAAGACGATTTATTTGTGATAGTTTATGAATTTAATTGAAATATAAAACACTAACTTGATGGCACATCCACTTTTGAGTTAAATGAGTTGAGAGTGTTTTAAGGCAAAAACAAGATAGATTTCATTAATTACATTAGCTTATCATTGTTATCTTCTCTTAAACACTCACTCATTTACCTCAAATTAAACACCAACGCTAATTAATTATATTCAATAACAATATTTTCACTTTTAACATTTGAAAATCAAGATAAATTGTAATTTTGAACCAGACCAATATTTAATTATTGAATTCAGTGAATAAAAAAGCAAACTTTAATTATTTGAATATTTTTCGTATATTTGACCTCGACTATGCTCGAATAAGCAATTTAAACCCTAATATTACAACTTAAAACAATCCAATTCAATGAAGATTTAAATAATCAAAGGATTCACATAAAACCCAAGTAGTTGAAATTAAAAAATATGTATCTGATTGAACTAAAAAAAATAATAATAATAATTGAGGCGTAATTGGGATCTTGTACACTCAAATTAATATCTGAATCTTGATGAGATATAGGAAGTGGAACAAATGGTGGGGTTGAAAATGTTGATGATTATGGATATAAAGTCATTATTGTTTTGGTTCCCCACGTTCAACAGAGATACATATAATACATATTCCAAAAAAGGGTTCCTCTTACATATTTTCAATCCCAATATGAGAGCCAGAGGCTTGTGTCATAAGATTAATCCAAATTCTTGAGCTTTTCAATCCCAATTCCATCCCTTCTATGATTGCAAGCTTGTTTACTCAAGAACACTCTCGTACAGATTGAGAATTGAAAATTTTTCTTAATAAGAACAATGGCTCTACTCTCTCATATTCGGGCTCCAATTAGATGCCAAGCATTTGAGATTTGA